CGGCGGGTCGTGGCGCGAAGCACAGTAGTAGCGCTTGTGCACGGTATAGGTCTCGTGGCGGCTGAAGCGGATGTTGCAGGCCTCGCACAGCGTCCGGCGGGGATCGTCGTCCTCGTCCGCCCCGCTGCCCGGGCTGGGGCTGCCCGGGCTGCCTTCCCTGCCCCGGCCGCCCCCCTCGGCCTCGGCCTCGGGTGTGGCCGCGCCCCCCGCCTCGTCCTCGCGCGCCCCAGAGCTCGGCGAGGCGCGCCCCGGGTCGGCCTCGGGGGGCGGTGGGCCGGGGGGTGCGCGGCCCGGGGCGGGGGGTGCCTTGGCCCTGCGTGCTGGGGCCGCGTCGTCAGGTGGGCGGCGGCCGGAGCAGTAGAGGCGCTTGTGCACGTAGAAGTTGTTGACGTTGTTGAAGGTGATGTCGCACTCGAAGCACGTGGCGCCCTTGGGAGCCCCCGCGAAGAGGCCGGCCTGGGCCCCCGCGCCCGCCTGCAGCCGGCTGTGTACCAGCTCCGACATCTTGGCCAGGATCTCTGAGGCCGGGGGCGCCGCGGGGAACTGCGGCAGGAAGAGCGTGCCGGCCGCCAGTCCCAGCTCGCCAGGGCCCGGACTGGAGCCGGGTGTGGGGCTGGACAGCTCTGCCTTCACCCTGGCAGGGGCAGGGCTGGGCGGTGAGGGTGTCCTCGATGCGGCGGCTGGGGGCCCTGGCTCCGCCTCGGGCTCCTCCGACGCAGCCTCTGTCTTGATGGCCCTGGGGGCCGCCGGGGGCTCGCTGCTGCCCCCGTTCTGGGGGGCCGCTCTGGCCTCTCCATTGGTGGCCTCAGCCAGAGCCTTCCTGTCCAGTCCTGGTGATGGGGTGGGCGCCAGGCCCAGGTCGGTGGAAGCCAGGGGGCCATGGGGGGCCGTGTGCTGCTGGAAGCTGGCCAGACTGTCTGCAGGGAGACCCCATGGGCCACACTTCAGGGCTGGAGCAGGACCTACCTGGGCCAGACCTGAGGAGGGGTAGGGTGGGAAGGGCAGAGCTGGGCTGGGTAGAGGTGGTGGAGGGCCAAGGATGAAACTGACCCCCGGTTGCCGTCAGTGCCCACCCATCCCTTCCCCGTCCCCGTGGGGAACCCAGGGCCTCACCTGGGGGGAGCTTGGCAGCGGGGTGTCCGGCCCCTGGGGAGTAGATCTCCGCCTTGGAGCCCGGCTGGCAGACCATGTGGTTGGTCACCAGATGGCTGTAGAGGATGTCCCTTGTGGTGGAGATGAAGCCACAGCTGTGGCAGACACCTGCAGGCAGGCTGTGGTATCAGGGCCCTGGGGTGGGGGCCCCCCCTCTCCCCTTCCCAGCCCCACCTACCGCTCAGCGTGTCTGTGTGCACCTTGAGGTGCCGCTCGCAGTTGGCTTTGGTGGTGAAGGCCGACAGGCAGATGAGACATACAAAGGGCCGTTCTCCTGGAACGCGAGGCTGAGTGAGGGGTGGGCTCCGGGAGCCCAGCTGGCCAAGGGCTTAGGACGTAGGGGAGGGGACGCTAAAGCCCGTCCTCCTCCGCCCCTGGTCTCCCAGGACTTTGGCAAGGGCCCAGCCCCGAGCTGACCATTCCGGTGATCACGGGGGGGCCGTGTGCTTTGGGAGTGCCCTATGGTGCGGTAGGAGGACCACATGGGCACACCTGTGGCGTGGCGGGCACCCGGGCCGGAGGCAGCAGAGGAGAGCTGGGGACCCGGCGGGGGGGGTGGGGGCTCACCGCTGTGGCTGCGCATGTGGATCTCCAGGGAGCTGGCGCTGGGGCAGCTCTTGCGGCACTGGGGGAAGGGGCAGACGCGCTCGTTGGGGTAGGTCTCCTTGGGCTTCTCGTCGGCGGCCGCAGCGGGCGAGCCGGTGGTCTGGCGGCTGGCGCAGTAGTAGAGTAGGTGGGCCTGCAGGTTCCTCTCGCTCCGGTACCAGATGCCGCAGTCTTTGCAGGGGAAGACGTCTTCTGTGGGGGTGAGAGGGGGGCGCAGCCTGAGGGGCCCCCCTGGCGGCAGAGGAGGGCCGCCTGCAGTCCAGGCAAGGCAGTGCACCTCCAGACCACGAGGGCTTTCCCCCGCGGGCCCCCCCCCCCCCCGCCCCGACATCCCAAGGAGTGAGGTTTGTGCCTGGGACCTTCCCTCCTGTCACCGCTGCCCATTCTCCTGTGTCCCTTTGGAAACCCGGGTGGTCTTTCTGTAGATGTCCAGGATGCCGTGGACCTCGTGGGCGGGGTCTCTAACCTCCCCAGGCTGGCGCCCATGCTGCCTCCCAACAGTGAGCCCCCTAAGAGACCCCGGAGCCTCATCGGGTGTCCACGGAAGGGGCGTGGCCATATGCTAGTGGACCCCTGAGGGAGTGAGGCATTGCTTCCGTGGAGGACTAGGTGGGGGCGGCCACGTGGAGGCAGGCAGGTGTGTGGGGCGTGAGGGGTGGTGTGGACCTGGGTGTCTGTGGAGTTCTCACGTGTGTTCCTGTGGACAGGTAGGAGTGGCCAGGGGCACAGGGAGCCCCCGTGCATGAATCTTGAAGCGTTGGGGCAGGAGGGCCACAGGTGAGCGGCGGGTCAGGGTGGCCTGGGGGCTGCAGAGGAAGAGCCCCTCCCCAGCCCCCCCAAGTGGTTTCACAGCAGTTACTGGTCAAAATTGCTTAATTGACATTTATCCCAGACAGAGGGCCTGTGACTTCTCCGTGTGTTGCAGTCTGGATCGCAGGCTGGTTTTGCGGCTCCGGAGGGTTTCCCTGACGGGTAGTTCTCAGCGTCTTTACGGCAGAATGTTCAGGAATGCCGCCTCTGCTCTGTGGCCACCTAACCCCTTGGCTCAAGACGGCTGGGGGAGGGCTCGTTCCAGGCTGGACTGCACACGTCCCTCACCCCGGCTTCTCTGAGGCTTATCCTGGGCCCACAATTAGGGCAGAACCGGGGGGTGGGGGTCCTCCTCCTCCCTCCCAAGTTCACTCTGATTTGGGGGCTTCAAGGCAGCTGTGTTAGCTGAGGCGCTGGGCTGTTGGGTTTGTTCCTGCGCCCGCAGGGCCGGAGTTGGGGAGAGGGGCCGGGGCCTCAGAGGCCTGCTCAGCCCTGGTTTAGCGGGGATGGTCACAGTCTCTCTGCCCCAGGGCTGTCCTGCACAGACGCCTGGTGTTTCCACCACCCTCGTTTCACAGGCGAGAACACAGGGGCCCGGAGGGGGTGAGTGTGGAACATTAAACCAGGTCTCATGGACTGTGCATTAAGGCTTTCCTAGGCCACCGTGTGGGGTGGGGGGTGTAGATGAGGGGTCTAGCCCCTGGTGGCCATGCTCCTGCTGCTTCAGGGTGAGGCTCTGACACCCAGGCCACAGACCCAAGGGGAGGAAGCCCTCCCAGGGTCTGGGCCTCCCCCAGAGCCCATTGGAGCAGCCTGGACAGAGGAGAGGGGGGGCTCACGCCTCAGTGCCGAGGACCCGACCGACCCTGTTGTGCCACCGTGGGCACCAAATGCCTTGGTGAGGTGGCCATCCTGCCCCCGAGGGCCCCTTCGAGCCTCCCTTCTCCCCCGAAAGCTCGGTGTCTGGAAGGGGTCCTGCTTGCTCGTGACCACCCTCTCTGTCGCCTGCCGCCAGTCCTCCCTCCATGAGGGCTCTGGAGGCTCGCCCCCCCACCTCCCCATCCTGGGTCCTTTCCACCAGCGTGCAGATATGCCGCGGGATTGCCTGAGTCCCAGCGACGCGAGCCGCGTCCCTCCACACACTTCCTCGCTCCCTGCTCACTCAGCTCTGGCGGTTTTGGTCTGTGGCCACATCTCCATGGCCAGGATGCAGTGGACTCCCCCTGCCCTCGGCTGGTGCCTCCTGCTCCCCACTTGTGTCCGCGGGTGCTGCCTGTCGCTGGACCTTGTCCTGCCCCCAGCCACCTCCCAGGCTCCACTTTAGCGTCCGTAAGACCTCTCAGGGTGAGGACGCTCAGAGTGGGCTCTCCTCCGGGACTCCCCACCAGGGACCGCGCCAAGCAGTGCGCAGCTGGCCGTGCACTTGGTGGCTCCCCACCGCATCCCAAGCCGCGTGGCGGGCCCCCACCAGCCCCAATGCCCCATCTGGCCCGGGGCCTCTTCCACCCCTGCTTCGAGCCGTCATCATGTTGGACTTCCTCAACAAGGTCACTTTTCCCCCCAGTTTTGCAGCTCCCCACCCCAGCAGCCAGGGTGATTTTAAAGCAGTCGGATCAGCCCTTTTGCTAAATAAAAGTTCTCTGCTGGAGACGCTTGCCTCCTGTAGGTGCTGTGCCCCGGACACGCGACGACCTTGCTGGGCTCAGCCCAAGCACCCCAATTAAGGCAGGCGCTGCCAGCCTGTGATCCTGTCCCCACTTGTGTCACAAGATGTGCCATGCTGGAGCCCACTCCCCCCCAACCCACCAGGCCCCGCCTGTGCCTCCCCGGGACCACTCGCTTCTATGTGGCCGTTGACAAGGATGTGGAGTAAATCCTATCTGATGCTCACAACACTCTGGCTCGGTGCGTCCTGGCTGGCACCAGCCTGTGAGCAACAGCCCCCCAGGGGACACTTGGCCGTGTCTGGGGGTGCACGGATCCCTGGCACTGGCATCTCTGGGGCAGGGGCCCGCCCCTGCCCCCACTCTCCCACGCGCGCCTGCCACGGCACACCTTCTGCTCAGATTACAGCGGGAGCCAATCTTTGCGGGTCTCGAGGTCCTGGGGGTTGTCCCCGCAGTGCCGTGGAGCTGGGGTGGCACGGTGGCATACTCACTGTTGATGACCGCTGTGGCCAGGATGGACGCCATGCCGGCCTGCTGGGGCAGGAGCTGGATGTCGGTGTGAGAGGGGGCTGGGCACTCGGGCTCGGCTGGCTCCTCCTTCACGGGGTGGCTGGGGGTGCCACGGGGCTCAGCCACTGTGAGCAGCACACCCAGCAGTCTGCCCGCCGGCACCGGCTTGGTGACTCTGCACCACAGGGCTTCATCTGCAGGGGCAGAATCATCGGTGACGGGAGGGCCGCTGGCCACCCCTCAGATGCCCCACCCTCCTGCCCCCTCCCGGAGACCAGGGCTTTGAGGTCGGCGGGGCGGGTTGGGGGGGGGGGGAGTATGGATCCAAGGTTGGGGTGCGTGGCTGTGTGAGGCCAGTCTCTCTGTAATGGGGCAACTGGGCGGCTTCCCGGGCCTGCCCGCTCCGTTTTCCAGGGTGGGGGGCTGGCCTGTGGGACAGGCAGCAGAGCGCCAGGGTGGCAGCCTAGCGACAGAGGAGCCAGGAGCGGCTGTTCCCGCGGCAGCCGGCAGGGGGCAGCCTCTGCCAACGACCCAGGCACCAGCCAGCTTACCTGTGTCCAGCTTGAGGCCACCAGGAAGCCTCCCGGAGGCGCAGCCCGCCCCCCACCCCCCAGGCCAACCTCGCTCCCGTCAGCACCGTGGGGATGTTGTCCTGCCTGGCAGGCAGTGGCCGCAGCCCTGCTGACCAGGCAGGCGGGGCAGGCTGAGTATACAAACCGGGGGCCGACAGCTGGCCGCCAACACCGGGCCTTCCGGTGCCTTCCGGCTGTGGTCTGGGGCCTTAGAGTATCCCTCAGCGGGAGCTGGGCTGAAGCGTGGCCCGGGTTCCCGGATGCGGCCTCGGCACCTGCGCTGTACCTCCCTCAGGCCGGGGAGGCCCCCAGGTGGGGACGGGAGTGAGGGGCTGCCCACAAGCTCAGCTGGGCTGGGGGTGTGTCCCTTGCCCTGCCCCTGATGGCCTCTGGCCCCCTCCTGAAATGAGAGCTGCCCCTGAGGACGGAGCGTGGCCTCCACTGGGAATATTCAGCAGAATGTGCTGTGTGCAGGGAGGTGATGGGAGGTGGCACCCTAGAACGTTCCAGCAAAGCGGAGACCCCGCAGGGGAATGAGGCCGTTTCCTAAGGTCGGGCACACACCCCTCCCGACTCTGTGCTTCTGTCACCCCCCGCGGCCCCCTGAGCCGCCTCGTCTGCAGCGTGGAGAGAGGGGTCCTCGCTGCCCTGGCAAGCGGACGACCACATCACACTTTGCTTAGGAGTCGAACCACCCAGGCGGCAGGAGATGGAAAAGCCCGTGTCACAGCTGAGTGGCCTGAGCCCTCTGAATCGAGGGCGGGGCGGGGTGGTGGTGGTGGTAAGGACCCTTTCCTGCTTCCCCTCCTCCCTCCTGGGCCACTCCTTCTAGAAGGTGCATGCAGGCAAGAGCAGAAGCCCCCAGGCCCCACGTGGCTGGATTTGGACGTGGCCTTCCTGGCTTCCCCAGAGCGAGCTGGACTACACGGGGCCCTGGTCTAGTTGGCACCGTGGCCTGCCTGGCCTGGGATCCTCTGCTGACCCCGGCGGTCTCCAAGGGGCCCTGAGAGCAGTCACTGCCCGGGCTCGGGAAGAACGGCCGGTCCCTGAGACCCCAGGGCTGACCTCTTGCATCAGGGCACTGGAGGCGTAGGTGGCAGCGGTGGTCTGCCCCAGGCCCGGCCCCGAGCGGCCCAAGGAGGCCGCTTTCCCTTTAAGGGCCAGCCCAGGGCCAGCCAAGTGCCCCCGCCCCAACCGGAAGGCCGCGGGGAAGCGCCAGGATACCAACCCTTCCTGTAGATCTCTGCGTTGGCTTCGGCCTCGGTCGGGGCCTGCGGCAGCATCCTCAACCAGCAGGGTTCATCCTCCAGCAGCAGGGTCAGGGCAGGGCCCTGGGGGGTGGGGGGGTGGGGAGGAGGCTCATCAGGGACAGCACAGGAAGGGCCTGGGTGGGGGTCCCGTGTGGCACAGGGGGAAAAGCCTGAGACCAGCGGGGTGGCCAGGCCACAGCCTGCTGCTCCGTGGTCAGCACTGTGTTGCCAACAGACGCAGCAGGGAGCTGGCACTTTCCGTGCAGGGGGCACTGGGTTCTCGGGAACCGAGGCCCAGAGAGGTCAGGCCACCTGCTCAAGGTCACACAGCCAGGGAGCTGCAGAACAGGAACCCACACCCAGATCTGTGTTCTCTCCCTGCCTCCCTACCAAGGCAGGTCGCTGAGGGCCAGGGGCAGTCCAGAACGGGCCCCCACGTGGCCTGTCAGCCCGGAAGCAGGCAGTTCTCTTCTCCTACCTCGAGAAGAGGGGCGAGGGGCAAGGAATATGGGGCATGGCTCCTGCAAGTGCCACCTCGCCCGGCCATGCCCTCTCCCCGGCTCGGTCTGCGGGCTGGGCCGCTGCAGCACCTGGAAGGAAGGAGGGCTGTGGGCTCAGCCCGGGGGGCCGCCTCTGTGGGGCCGCCCTGCACCGTCCCGGCCCTGGAGCAGGTACACGGCCCGGGGCGGGGTGGGGGAAGGGGGCGGCCCCTGGTGCCGGGATGCAGAGGCTGGGCACGGATGGTGGGGGGCCGGTTCTGCCCTGCGAGGTTGGGGTGGCCGCTGCCACACCCAGGGCTTCAGCCCCAGGGCCGCACCCCCTCTGGGCTGCTCTGACCGGGGCCCCCACACTCAGCCAGCAGCACTGCGTGACGTTTGGGTATTTTTGTTGTATGCGAATAAGTGCCTTGCATTCAAAAATGGGTACATCGGGACCTTTAACTGAAGAACCTGTATCACGTGCTGTCACCTGGAAATGTTGCCACCTAGACCAGGGTGGCCGTGTGCACCCCAGGCGGACACAGCAGGCGGCTGAGATGCTGCCTCTGTGTCGCGCTAGCGATGGCCTCGGAGGTATCCTGTGGCCGACCATGGGCCCCTCCCTGCCCGGGGACGACACGGGCTCCAGAGCCGAGTGTCGGGGTCCAGGCCGGGCCTCCCCCGCTGTGACCGTGGGCCCGGTAACACCCTGGAACCCGAGGAGGTCCCTCTGACCGCTCTGTCCTCTCATCCCCACCCTGTGGCAGGCTCAGGGACCCGGCGACATCAGGCCTCTGAGCCAAGCACACCTCCTGAGGCCAGGCACCTTGGCCGGTGGAGTAGCTCTGTGGCTTGGCCACGGAAAGGGCCGGTGGAGACTAGCAGCAGGACCTGGCCTGCACCTTTGCCCGCCCCCTCTGCCAACGGGTGATGTCCCTTCTGCTCGGAGCTGTGACTCAAACCACGTGTGTGCTCCAGACCCGGTCCGGTTCTGCCACCCGCTCTCGGGGTTGGGGGGCGGATGGCCGAGTCTACCCTCTGAAGATCAGCCCCTCCAGGCCCTGGGAGGTGTCGACGTGCACGAAACCGTCCCTTCCTGCAGTGCCCACCTGGTACAAAAGCCAGGAGCCCCTGCCCCCCCTGCTTTTGTCTTCCCCTTGGCCAGCAGGACCCAGGAGGCGGGGGCCTCGCGTTTAGGCCCCGAAGGCGGGGGGTCCACCGGGGGTCCCAGGCCATCAGTTGCCAGCTGTCAACTTAGAGCATCTCACCCGGGGAGCCCGCTTCGGGCAGGCTGGCAGCACCCTGCTTTTAGCAGACACTCGGGGTCCCCCGGCTGCAGGACAGGATGCCGGCCGGGGGTGCCCGCCGGCTCCGAGGCTTCTGCCAGAGGTGGCGGGGGGGGGGGGGGGGGGCTAGCGGCCAGGTGGGGCCACCCCTGTGGCAGGTGACCGGTGGCGTCCCAGCTGCCCTGACCTGGACAGCGGCTTGCAGCAAGGCGGGGCCGGGCCTCCTGAGTCTCTAATGAATATTAATGAGCCGAGGATGGCGAAAAAAATTAATCTGCCTGATCCTCCGATTGGCGCTGTGGTAACGATATGAAATCTAATTATTCGTCCCAATATTTCTAACCCTCAAACTGAGACTGACAGCCTCCCGGTAGGTTTAATGCTTATCGCTCGCAGGAGCAGCGTGCTCCCGGCATGATAAAAACACGCACGGCTTTGCTGACGCTGCAGAACCCTCGCTCTCCGCGTACTTCCTGGAACAGAGGCGGCCGTGCCCCGGTCCCACTGGGGCCGAGCGCCTGCGTGCGGCCGGCCGCCCCACACGACAGGGCACCACTGCCCTGCACCGACTCCCAAGACGGTCTGGGGCTGCCCGACCTGGCCCTGTGCTATTCCGTACTTACATGGGGGGACAGCTGGGGACAAGACCTTCCCTGGCCTCCCGGGGCTGCAGGGCCGGCCCCCACCCTGCCCCGCTGGCACCCCGTGGAGGGGCGGACACAGCACCCGGCTGCCCCGTTACTGGTTTTCCTCCTCCTGTTTTCCCCTGCAACTCCGAGCAGCCTTGGAAGAGAAGCCCCTTTCTCTGGTGCCTGAAGGCGCTGGCCTGAGGGGGGCCCTCTTCCTGACCGACCCTGCCCTGCCCATGGGCAGTGAAATGGGGTGTAAGCCCGGAGGGACGGCCTGGCCCTTCTGCCAAAACCATCAGCCTGTGCTCCCGGCTGCCTTCCCTGCACAGACGCCCCCAGGCTCGGCGCCCTGTGTCCAGCTCACCCTGGACGGGCCGTGTCCGGGTTCAGTAGGACGCCCCTCCACCCACCCTGCCTGCAGCCCCTTGGGGTCCTGCCTGTCCCTCCCTCCTGGCTCCAGGACGGCCCCACCCAGCCCTGAGATAACGGGCAGCCTCTTGAAGTTCTCTGGGCGCATCTGGGACCACTCCTTGTCTCCCCCAACAAAGAGGTCAGCGTCTGGATTCCGTGCCTGCCGATAACCATCAGAAACTCTATCTCTGCCGCATCCGCTGAGGCTGTTCCCAAACCTCGCCGCGCATCTCAGGCAGCACCGTCAGGGGGAGGTGGGGGCCGTGCTCTGGCATGGGCAGGGGGCGGCCCAGCCCAGCGAGCCAGACCGCTCTGCACAAGGTCAGCGGGTTTGCCAGTCCCCCCCCCCCGGTCACTGTAGGGCAGGTCAGTGGGAGGTCAGGGCTGGGGCGGGCCTGGGCTGGGCTCTGACTCAGGCCCCCACCCACCTCCTTCCTTCAGCTCATCCTGATGAGTCCTGTCTCCATCCTGCTTACCCTCCCAGAGGCAACCGCCTTTCTGTCTTTGCCTCCCCCACACCCTGCGAAGAGCCCATTTCACAGATGAGGACTGGGGCCCACAGAGCTGAATGATGCCCAAGGCCATGGGAGGTGGCTGTGTGCACACAGGACTGACCCACGGTCTGCATGATATCTGCTTCCATCCATCCATCCACCCACCCACCCACCACCATCCACTCACCCCATCCCTTCACCGACCCATCCACCCACCCACCCATCCATCCACCCATCCATTCTGAACATTTTTCTGGTATCTGACTGCAAATTTTAGCACTGGCTGGGTTTCGAAGCCCTGGGATGTGGCAGCCACAGCTGGATCAGGGAGGGACCTGCCCAAGGTCACACAGCAAACTAGTGCAGCAACCACTCTTGACCCGACCCCTGCCGAGCTCTGTGCACTCACTCTGTGGTCCCATCCCCAAAGTCTTGTGAGGGTGGAGACTGCCAGGGCAGCCACCCTGGTCCCCCCTCCCACCTGCCAGTAGTCCTGGGCCCAAGAAAAGCAGCGGGGAAGGGTCGTCACACCCCACTGGTGCCCCTCTCCCTCCTTCCTCTCCAAACAGCGGAGACAAACGGCCTGGCGGCTGATAGGAAGATATGGGGCGGGAGGTGCGTGGGGGAGAGAACTGGGGCCCATCAGCTGAGCTCGATAAGGGGCCCGCTGAAATGTTAGCAAAAATATTTAGACAATAACTGGAGTATCGGAAAGGCGCGCGTATCTTTAAGAAATCAATCATCACGGACGGTGTGTCTGGACACTCGGCGCCAAGGCGCAGATAGCGCCTGCTGGGGAGATAAGGGTTAATCAAGGATTTAATTCTGCAGGAGATAAAGCCCCAGCGAAAAGCAGACGAGGCTCCTTCCTCCCGCAGCTCCTCAGCAAGAGCCTCAAAGGCCACTGGCTTCCCTGGCGTTGGTCCCTCGCTCCCCTCGGACATTATCTCTCCGCCTGGAGAGAGTCTCCAGCCTCGTGCCAAGTCTCCCCAGGCCGACCTGCGCCCTGGGCCCAAGGAGGACAAAACCCTCCGAGAGGAGGCTGCGGGAGGGAGGGGAGGGCCAGGCGGGGACGTGGCTGGGGCCTGTCCCTACAGAGCCTGCAGGGGTCTGGGGTTGGGCAGACGTGGGGTGCAGTGCTCCCTCTGCTATCGGATCCCGGTCATTTTAGCGTCATTCAACCTATCGGAGCCTCAGTTTCCTCATCTGTAAAATGGGGAGCTGCCTCATATGCTGTAGGGGAGGAAGACCAGGGCCTGTGCGTGAGGATGGGCACACCTCAATGTGTGTGTGTGGGGGGTGGGGTGGGGGGTCTGGAGCATACACGTCCATCCTGGAAGGGACTGACTATTCCCAGAGGAGGGACCAGAGGACAGAGGAGCAGGCCACACTCAGCCACACCCCTTTATCTTGTCATAGCTTATGAGAACTCAGAGCCCAGGATGGGGGGGCTCCCAGCCCACCTACTCCTCCTTCCAACTTAACTGCTCCTCCGTAGCCTGTGCTCTGAAAAGTCAACTTCTGCTTGTATGCCTCCAGTGATCGGGAGCTCACTGCCTCAGGAGACTGCTCTGAACACCGTAGCTTCTGTCCACTTAGTGGAACCCAAGCCAGGCGCCTTTTACGGAGCCAACATCGACCTCGGAGCTTCCGCTGCATTCTCCCTGCTTGAGCCCTGGGACAAGAGGGTCATCCGTCCCGCGGGGCGGCTGGCCACACTGCCCGCCAAGCAAGCCATGCCCTGTGCTGGGCACCACGTGCACATCGTCCTGTGGAATCTGCACGGCTGCCCTGGGAGCTTCACGGACAAGCCGCGGCTCTGCCCGCCCACCCTCTCCTCTGCAGGGGGTCGGAGGGTCTGCAGGCTCAGGCCTCCGGGACCCTTCAGGGCCTCCCTGTGTCCCCACCGAGGTCCCAAAGGCTGAGGAAACAGAAGCTCAAAGAGGACAGGAGCCTGCCCGGGACCGAAACAGCTATGAGAGAGGAGACCTTGGGATGTGGACCCTATGCCACGGGGATGGTCTGGCCACGCAGCCGGGAGCCCTTGGTCCTGGGCCAGCATCCGCTTCTCTGAGCACGGCCGCTGGGCTGTGCCGGGCGGTGTGGGTGGCCCAGGGGGCCTCAGCTTGGGGGAGCTGCTCCAACCTCCTGAGGCCAGGCCCCGGCTCAAGAGCCTGACTCGGGGTGGGGTGGGGTGGGGGCTGTGGACGGTGGTCTGAGGGTCTGCAGCTGGAAACTCTGCCTGCGGCCCCCTGCCTGCCCAGCGGACACGCTGCAGACTGAGTTCCCAGGGCCCAGGTTTCTGTGGCTGAGAAACAGAGGCTCTGACTCCCAGGCTGGAGCCGGACAGGGTAGTCAGGGCGGCGTTTGACCTCGCGGTATGGGGGTCCCCTCCCAGCCGTGCCGCTGCCTGCGGACAACACGGAGGCCAGCCAGAGGCCCACACTCGGGGCCTGGGGACCAGGAGGCCCAGCACTGCGGGGCACCTGGCAGCCAGGGTGCGCCTGGTTCAGATCACACCCGAATGCAGCTTTGGGAACCAAAAAGGGCAATGGCCGCACGTTAGGTTCCTTGAGCCTGGGCTCGAGGGGACCGACCCAGGGCGCCTCCAGGCCTTTTAGACGAGTGGCAATAGGGCTCGGAGGTGTTTCTTGAGCAGTGGCACGGCCAGGCCCCTCCTGGTTCCCGTCACACCCATGCTGTCCATTCTGCTGCCCCCAACGTACTTAATCGGCCCGCACATCCGTGCCCTTTCCTAACCAAAACGTATATATCTATTTTTAAGTAGGCTCCATACCTAATTCAGGCCCGGACTCACGACCCTGAGATTAAGACCTGAGCTGAGAACGGGGCGCCTGGGTGGTTCAGTCTGTTAAGCATCTGGCTCTCGATTGTGGCTCAGAGCACCGAATCACGGTTTGTGAGTTCGAGCCCTGCGTCGGGCTCTGCGCTGTCAGCGTGGGGCCTGCTTGGGATTCTCTCTCTCTCTCTCTCTCTCTCTCTCTCTCTCCCTCTCTCCCTCTCCCTCTCCCTCTCCCTCTCTCTGCCCCTCCCCTGCTCACTCTCTCTGTCTCCCAAAATAAATAAATACACTTAAAAAAAAAAAAGACCTGAGCTGAGATCAAGAGTCGAATGGACACTTAACTGACCACGCCACCCGGTCCCCTGAAATGTATTTAAAGGGAGCCTTTGTGTCCCTGCAGGAAGACGCAAGCGACAAGACCCAGGGGGGCCACCTGGTTACAGACGGAGGTCAGAAAGCGCAGGGAGGCAAGGACACCGGGGCACCAGAGGCACCCTAGGCTGTCGTGGGGAGGACCCAGGGGAAAACGTGCATCTCGGCCTCTGCTGCAGGGGTCCCCCCGCTGCGACAGAAGCGTCTCATGTGCCCGGCCCACAAAGGCCAGGCCCGGATCCCCACTCGGTTCCTTGTTGCCTCCCCAAGTTCAAACACCAGCTTCTCCCTCTGTTTTGCCAACCTCTAGTCATCCATCAAGGGCCCTCGTAAAGAACCCCTCCTCCAGGAAGCCTCCCCGGCTCTCCTTCCTGCCTTCCTGGTCCCAGTGTCTCCGGTCCCCATCTCCGACGCACCGCACACAGAGTGGCAGGTGTTCCCGGGCTGGAGTGTAGCCTGGACTCAGCTCCCGGGGCAGAAGGGGTCTGTGCCCCGGGCTGGACTCTGCCCTGCAGCTGGTGGCTGGGCTGCTGGGGCCGGGGCTCCTTACCGGTTGCACCTGCCCAGGGGACGAGGCTTTGCTCTGGATGTTCCCGCGGAAGGGGCCCCAGGACAGCCCCTCGGCCAGGCTGCGTCGAGCCCGCACGCACCTCTGCCCGTCCTGTAGCACCGGCTCCAGCTCGTCTGTGGGGAGAAACACGGGGGCTGTGAGGCGGGCCCAGTGGAGGGGACCACCCGGCCCCGCCACCCAGCCAGGTGCAGTCCCGCTCTGCAGCTCCCCAGTCCCCACGAGGAGCGGCCGCGGCGGGGGGGGGGGGGGGGGGGGGGGGGGGGGGGGCGGCCGGGGGGCCGGGGGCCCGCCCCCCCCGGGGAGCCGGCCAGCCTCTGCAGCAGGCCCTTGCCTGGGAGACAGCTAGGGGCAGGACGGGGTTCCTGAGCTGCACCGGAGCAGGGGACCAGGGCTGCTCCGTTAGGACACGTGTCTCACGCAGCCCAGGGCACTGCCAGCCAGCTTTCCCCGGGCCAGGGACGCGATCCCTGCTGCTTCCGCCGGAGACAGTGCAGAGCAGAGGACGTGACGTCCACGAGGCTTGTCCCCTGTCCTTCCGTACGGTCCTCCCAGCCCCGCCCCCATTGGATTGAGCCCCCCCCCGCCCCAGATCCACAGAGCAAGCCTGTGCGGGCAGCTGTGGAAATGCGGGGCCTCGATTTGCACACCTCTGAGACGGGGACCCCAATACTTCCTTCTTCCTGGGGCTGCGCGAGGCTTGGCCGCGTGAGTCTAGCGACACCCTTAGCACAGGGTCCACAGAGGGGAAACCAAGTCAAAGCACCGAGCTCTCCCCCCAAAGGCTCAGCCAAGCCAGAATCGGCACTTGAGTGGCCCTGATGTTGGCCCCGCTCACTCCTTGCAGATCAGCAGGGACAGGGACGGGTGGGGACCCCCACATGCTGATGCCCCTGTGCCCCAACTTCAAACACTGGTTTCTTCCTCTGCCAACTTCTACTCACTCATCAAGAGGCAACCTGCTTTCTGGAAAGGTCTAGGTGCTGAGTCTTGCTACCTCTCTGCATGGTCTCCCTGAGCTGAGGGTGTGGACGCTCAGGGGCTGACGCCGCCCATGCCACAGGGCTGGGGGTGCAAACGTTCCGGGCTCCCGCAGCTCCCGTGGCCCGGGCGGTGGCTCCCGCGGCACTTGGTGCACGGCCCCCCGCCGGATTCGGTTACATTTATACAGACAGACGGGCCTCTGTTGTGAGCCCCTGAGACCGTCATTCTCACTCGGGCAGGACTGCGATTTGGCCCGGCCTCGCTGCACGGGCCACATGACTTTCCGTAGTGGCCGAATGTCGGCCCCCAGAAGATACATCCACCAGGAACCTGTGCACGTGCCCTTATTTGGAAAAAGGGTCTGTGCAGATGTGATCAAGTCAGGAGCTCAAGATGAGATCATCCTGGATTATCTGATGGGACCCTAAATCCTATGACAAATGTCCTTATAAATGACACAGAAGAGACAGGGAAGAGGGCCCCATGAGGACAGGCAGAGACCAGAGTGATGGGTCGGGAGGAAGCTGCACATGGGGCCCCGGGAACTGTGAGGGGCAGAAGGACCCTCCCCTGCAGCCTCCGGAGGGAGCGTGGCCCAGGCACACCTTGGCTGGGGGTTTCTGGCCCCAGCGCTGGGAGAGGGCAGATGTCTGAAGTTTTAAGGCCCCAAGGTTGTACACAATTGTCAGGGCCACCCTGGGAGACCCACGCCTGGCACGTTTCCTGCCCGCCCAGGGCCTCGGTGTCCTCCCAGGACAAGGGGCCGGGGGTGGGCGTGCCCTCAGAGTGCCATCCCTTCCCGGATCGCACACACTCTGCCCAGGAAGGCCGGGCTGCCTTGTGCCTCGGATGCCGTCCGGGCTGCCTGGGCCCACAGAGGCTTCACGTGGCCTGGCCTGGTCCCCAAGCGAGCGCTGCGGCCGCGGCCCCACTTCCTGGAGCCCCGATCAGGCAGGCTGTGGCCTTAATGGGCCCGATTATCAGATAACTGCCAGCCTAATGGCAGAGATAACGTGTAAATACGCCAGGAGGCCCGGCTAAAACGTTCTAACTGGGTCCTTGTCTTCCCCGGGGCAGATAAGATGGCAGGGGACCAGGATGAGGCCGAGGAGGCCGGCACCCCTTTACCAGCCCCCCAGAGAGCGGGGCAGAGGCTGGCACTGTCACTTTGCAGCTCACCCATGAGGGGCCATGTCCCTTGCAGACCCGCCCAGGACACCTGGGTCCCAGCCCAGGGCTCTGCCCACAGCCCACCCCCTCCCTGGCCCCACGGGGCCCGTCCTCAGGGGCAGGGGTGTGTCTGGCCAGCACGAAGTCACCCACCCCTGCTCAAATGCGCCTACGAAGTCGGTTGTCTCCTAACATCCCCCACACGGACAAGGATGCTGGGGCCTCAAGAGGCCACGTGGCTGGCAGGAGGATGCCCCCGGGATCCTGGGCATGCTGGATCTCCGGTCCCCCCTGCTGGCCAGCCCTCAGGGGACGGCACGTGTGAGGGAGGGATGGGGAGTACAAGGCCACCTAAAGGTGAGCTCGCCGGGTACTCGCTTTTCCATCCACTCTTCTGCCGTCCGATGGGTCAGAGCCCACGCGGCACGAGCCTGTGCCCCGCACCCCTAATCGTCCAGAATCCCGACGCGGCCTGCCCATATCCAGACAGCCAGAAACCGCTGGTCGGCCTGCGCGTGGGCTCTGAACAGGGATGCCCCCGTGCCTCTCTGGACCTCCCTTCTGCCGGGACCACAGACAAGACAGGGATGGTGACCGTGACTCCAGTTTTCACCCACTTCCCCCGTCAGTGTCTAGGACATCTGAAACATCCTGGCCTTGTGGGGCACCGAGCTCCCCCCTCCCCCCGACGACGCCTTCCACCCGAGGCTGACAGCCCCCCTTCCCGTGGGAGGAAGAACTCAGGATCCAGCACGTGGTTGGCCGGCCTGGGGGTCCCCGAGGGCAGAGGAGGCGTGGGGGCGGCCTGGCTTCCCGGGCTGTCCCCGGCTGGTCACACCTGCACAGTCCTGAGGTTTCTCTCTCGGGGCCCCCAGCCCGGGCGGCGATGGAGGAAAGGAGCAGAGCCAGGGTGCCTCCGCACCCCGCCCACCGGGCACCCACAGGCAAACAGCCATGCTCCCTAATCGGAGCCTCAGGGCCGCCAGGCCGAGCCTCCCAGATAACAGCGTGGCCGGCGTTTCCCTCGGCAGCCGGTTCATCTTTGGGTATCATGCACCGCCAGAGGGTGGGCTGGCTCCCGATAAAGGCTGCCATTCTGCATGCCTGAGGGCAGAACCCACCACTCAGGGCTTGCTGGGAGCTGGTCAAGGCCTGGGAGAGGTGAGGCGGCCAGGGAATGGGGAAACCTGGACTGGGGATAGGGCAACGGTCACCATAAAAACCCACCTCCCTGGTTCGGGGAGGCTGGTTCTGAGGGGCCGAGCGTTTGCGGGGTGATGACGAAGTGCACCACCTGTGCAACTGTACACGGTGGCCCTGGTGATGTTCAACATCCATGTGCTCAGATAACTTATTTCCAGCAAACGGTTCCTGTC